AGGTAGGAGACAGCAACCGCGGAGAGTCCATAAGTGGACGCCCGCTGCCTCAACCAAAAGGCTGGCAGAACAGCTCCGTCGCGCAGGCCCCATGGAACTGAGTAAGATCCCGCAGGGCCCTGATCTTGATGTATAACATAGGATATACATCGCAGAGGAACGAGACTCGAGCCCAGTTGCACCTGAAAGACCAACAAGATTTTCCAGGGTATAAGCTTTCCAGTCAGTGTTTGACGAAGGAAGTGTTGACTCTCGAAAGCTTATACCCTGGAAAAACATGTTGGTTTTTAAGGTGCTACTGGGCTTGAACCTCACCCTTCTACTCCAAATGAACACAACCACCCACCTGAAACTACTGATATACATCACAATCACCCAAAAATGCAAAATTCAAATTATGGCCACAGCATTTCCTGTAACATTCCATTGAATCTATGTCCAGCTGTCATGATCTGGGCTGTGCAAGCAAGGCCCGGCATGCCCAGGGAGCCTGTGTAGCAATAGGAGGAGGCTAGGCCTACAACTCCCAGAAGCCCCTGAGAGGTTTTGGCACCAATTTTAGCCAATCACAGGGAAAGGGGACTTACAATGAATGAGCTGGTACAGAAGAAGAGTTGTTCTTTCTTCCAAGAGAGCAGGGCCAGAGGGAAGGCTGCTGCTGGGAGAGACCCTCACCCTGAGAGGAAGGGTGAGTAGACCCAGGCCCAACTGAGACAGTGGACTAGGGACTGTGAGTCTAGTCGCGTTAGGGCATTTGGTTTATTTTCCCTTCACCCGCTTACTGTTATTGTTCTTGCACCTTGTTTATTTCCCATATTTGACTGACCTCCTGTAAATTAAACCTTTTATTTGTTGTTTACTTGCCTGGTCCTCACGCCTATTATTCAGCCAAATAAGGGAGGTCTGAAGGTCTTGGGAGGGTGCTCTGGGCCTTCTCAAGGGATCCTACAACCAGAGTGGTGGCAGCGTCAGGTGACACTCCACCTGAGCCATGACACCAGCAATCTAATTATACGCTTCAAACCAAAAGACAACTGCCTGTCCTGACAGGTGTTAAGCACAAGGAAAACACTGTGTTCAAGGTCACTCCACTCTATAAGCAAAATTGGCAGAAATTTATAAAACAAATATTACATATTTTCTATTCATGTATTACATTTACAAAAGTATTCCTGCAATTACACACAACATAGAAATCTCCACAAGTAAAAACAATTCAGGATAGAGGAGACCGTCCCCTAGAGACTGTGGGTCTCTGCCACCTCGGGTGCAGAACAGAGGGCACTTTTTGTTCACCCTGGTGGCAAAAACATCTATCTGGGGGAACCCCCACCTGTGGAAGAGTGGAAGAAGGAAGGTTGGATTCATTTCCCACTTGTAGAGACAGTCCTGCCCGACTCAGGTGGTCTGCTTGCACATTCATGTGCCCTGGGATGTGCGTGGCGACTAGAAAGACGTTGTGGGCGATGCAGAAGTCCCATAACTGGATGGCGAGGTCGCAGAGGCGTTGGGAGATGGTGCCCCCTTGCTTGTTCACATAGCTGAGCGCAGTAGTATTGTCCCCAATTGCGAAGCGTAGGTATTGGCGGTGGGACGGGTGGATGGTAAGGTGGAAGTAGCCGTCTTGGAGGTCGAGGGTGGCCATCCAGATGTTTTTCTGGAGGAGTGGCAGAATCTGCTGCAAGGACACCATGCGGAAGCGGTGGTAGGTCACAAAGCAGTTTAGCGCTCTTAGATCTAATATTGGTCGAATGCCTCCATCCCGCTTTGGAACGGTAAAATAATGGGAATAGAATCCCTTGCCCTGTAGGTGCAGTGGCACCGGCTCGATGGCGCCCTTCTGCAGAAGGACGGACACTTCTTCCAGGAAAGCTGGAGAAGGGGGTGTGGAGATGAAGACAGGAGCAATGGGGTTCTGGATGAATTGTATGTGGTAACCCTGGGTCAAGATGGACAGCACCCATTTGTCCATGGTGATGAGGTGCCAGGATTGGAGGAAAGGGGTTAGACGGGTTGGATGTGACTGGGAGATATGGAAGTCAAAAACCTTGCTTGGCAGACTTTGCCTGCTTACTGCGGGAAGAATGTTGTCCCGATCCAAATCTAGGTTTCTGGAATGTGGGTTTCTGGCCTCCAGAGGATGTACGTGGCCTCCATTGCCGGTCAGGAGATTGCCGGTTTGGAGTGCATTTTTCCCAGGGTCTGTTCCAGGGACGAGGTCGTTATTGCTGCCTCATGGATGGTGAAACGCCCAGAGCACGAGAAGCTTTTATGCTTTTATCCATGTCTTGTAATATGGTGTCTGTAGTAGTGTTAAACAGACCAAGGCCATCAAAGGAGAGGTCCTCTACGTATGACCTAGTATCTGGCTGTAGATTGGTGTTGCATAGCCGCCTTCGTAGGGCTATGGCTGAAGCCACTGTCCTTGAGGAAGTGTCTAGCGCATGTTGGGAAGTATTGATTTGTTGCTTAGCCAACACCATGCCCTCTTTTTGGATGCTGCGGGCTGCCTGACGCTTGTCTTCTGGGAGATGAACCAGAAGCTCAGAAAGCCTTTCCCACAAGGTGTACTGGTATCTACTCACACACACCAAGTAATTGGTGGTCTTTACTCCTAGCGCTCCCGTAGAATAGAAACGGCATCCGAATGCATCCAAGTTTCAGCTCTCCTTGTCTGAAGGTGCAGAATGTGTTCTCTTGGACTTGGATGAGGAAGTGACTACCATGGAATTTGGTTGAGGATGGGAGAATAAGAATTCTGCTCCAGTTTGTTGGGCTCTGTACATGTGGTCCAAGCAACGTGTGGACACTGGAGCCGAGTGGCACCCGCCACGTGGACTCAATGTTTTGTTGTCGTGGCAGGCCGAACTTTTAGTTCTGCCGCCGCGAAAGGGGGGACTGTAACGATATGAGCTTATGTTTGTATTTCTGTATAGTGGTGATGCTGCTTATGTGTGTCTCTAGCATGAATACCTATGCAATATGTATTCAGGGATTGCTGTTTGGTTGTGTTGCTTTGTTCTGCATCTCATGCTTGCCTAGAAATAGGCTGGCCTGGGCCTGCCGTTGCACATACGGACCATGTGCGTCCCTGGAATGTATCCCATGACTCTTTGGGATGGAGAAGACACCGCGCCATTGCACCCACTTGGAGAGCTATGGAAAATCCCCAGCGAACCCCGGCATTCTTGGAATGGAAAGAGCAAGTGACCCTACTCCCTTAATCTGGTTTGGAGATCTAAAGACAATAGCGTTTATGGCTTTGGAGCAGGAACCAGATCTGCAAATCAAGAGGTGTCCATGGGAACGGAAGATTCACACCTTGCCAAAAGGCACCTTTGATGTAGGAGTAGGATCTGCATATTGCCACCACCCCTTAGGAGAGCGTCATCCCCTTCGTCATCCCCTCGTCACCCCCTCTTCATCCAGTAGTGATAGTTTAGAGGACGGGTTTGATAGTTTATGGCTGGATAGCCCATGCCCCAAAAAGAGTTTATTTAAGGAGAAACTCTCCTTTGTCTCTCTGGTTAACCCACCCTTCCCATAGCAGTGCACTAAGGTGCTACAAGTGACTCTACTACTTAAGTTCTCCGGGAGTCGCGACCCAGAGAGCTCACACGTGGTTTGGCTGGTCCTACCTGTGTGCCTTGGAGTTCACAAGCTGCTGCTTTCGGCTGCCCATCATTCCAAGGAGGAGAGTTCTTCGTCAGCTTGGACCTCAGATGAGTATAGCCGTGCCCCATTGTGTCATCCCCATTTTGATGCTTTTGTTATTTTCTATGCTGTAATTGTTCTGATGTACTATTGTAACTAAGGAGCTTGTATGAATTTGTATGATTCCGTTTTTGTATGCCTGATGAAAAACCCTTTAGTAAAGACAACATTTATTTAAACTCTAGTGTGTTGTCTCACTTCCTGGGATATAGCGAGCGTTTCATTGGCCATCTGACCTCTGTATAAACGGGTATAGAACTTACGCACAGCCACAAGTACCCAATTTTCCTTGGTAGATAACTTGGATTGGGTCTCCAGGAATTTCCAGGAGAAGTTGGCATAACATTGCCTGTGACAGGACCGTAGACATGGAGAGTGCTATAGCTGTCGATGTATCTAGCTGGATGACATTGAAGACAGCATCTGTCACCTGTGGTTGTGGTTGTACGACTCAAAGGCCAAGGGAATGTGCCATTCTTTTTATAAGGTCTCCATAGGAGGTTAAATTCTCAGACGGAGATATAGGTTGGTCATCGGCTACTGCCTGAGTAGGAGACAGCTGGTCAGGGGAGTTATGGTCATCCGAAGCCCCTGTATCAGAATCCTCATCCACAGAGTCAGAGGAATCGGGCTCTGGCAATTGTACTGGAGTGGTCTTGACTTGACTGGTTGGATCTATTGATGGTGGGATAGGGGGACTGGGAGGACAATATTGATCCGGTCGATGTGAAGGAGGGTCATCAGATGGATGATCCGGTGGACGGGAGAGAGACGCCGAAGGCCTCGATCTATAGGGTGACTATGATCTGTGGGTAGAATAACGATCCCAATCAGAGTAACCTGCTGGAGTCAACCACAGCATGGATGCTGGTGGATGAGCCCCATAAAAATAACGCAGGTGGCAGTGATCCCAGGAGAGAGGAGGAGGTGGGGGGGCAGGAAGACTCGTGGGGATCTACTCCTGGAGCGGGAGCATCTTGGAGACAGTGTTAGCCCGATCATCGATATCGAAGGGCCGATCCTCGGCGAACAGACGGGGAGGATGACGTTGAATGCTTTTAGGGATCTGTCGATGCCAAGCCGCATCAATATCGGCATGGCACTCCGAGACCGTCGATGTCGAAGACTGAGCAGAGGGAGAGCGACCCATGCCCGGGGGATGACTGAGGATCTCGACATTATCGATGTCGGAGAAAGGATGCATATCGACCAACGTGTCATGGTCTAGCTGGTGTATGGGAAAGTCCAATAGATGGATAGTCGGTATCGGTGGAGCGACTGGAGCGTCAGATGCCGATACTGCCGTTGGAGTGGGGGGCACATTAGGGGCATTACCCGGTGTAGTACCCAATACATTCCCAGACTTCGCCGTCTTTAGGGTCTTTTGTTGTTCAGTCGCACAGTCGAGTCCGACTCTTCGTGACCCCATGGAGCAGCTCCCGCCAGGCCCTCCTGTCTTCCACTGTCCTCTGAAGTTGGCTCAATTTCATGTTCGTTATGTCGGTGACACTGTCCAACCATCTCATCCTTTGCCGTCCCCGTCTTCTTTGACCTTCAATCTTTCCCAGCATCAGGGTCTTCTCCAGTGAGTGCTCCCTTCTCATTTGGTGGCCAAAGTATTTGAGCTTCAGTTTCATTATCTGGCCTTCCAGGGAACAGTCAGGGTTGATTTCTTTGAGGATTGACTGATTTGTTCTTCTTGCAGTCCAAGGGACTCTCAAGAGTCTTCTCCAGCACCATAGTTCAAAAGAATCTATTCTTCTGCGCTCGGCCTTCCTTATAGTCCAACTCTCACAGCCATACATGACTACTGGGAATACCATTGCTTTGACCATGCGGACTTTTGTTGGCAGGGAGATGTCTTTACTTTTTATCATGCTGTTTAGGTTCGCCATCGCTTTCCTCCCAAGGAGCAGGCGTCTTTTAATTTCATGGCCGCTGTCACAGTCTGCGGTTTAGGGTCCTAGAGGAGCCCTATTTTGCGGACTTGTGCTCTTTACCCATCTTCTGTTTCCTCTTCACGGGCGTCGACACTGAAGATTGCGCCGTCGGTGCCGAACACTTCGATGTCGACCAAACGATATCGGACGAGGGCTTCGAAGCCAGAGCCGTCGATGTTGATGGTCTCACCAGGACTTCTGAGTCCATGACTGAAGCGGGATTTAGCGTCAAGGACTCTGGTCGGTGTGTCTCGCCAAGACAAAAAATGCAGAGGGAGTGGCCATCAGGTGGAGCAAGCTTACTGCCACAGTCCTTGCAACGCTTGAAAAAGCCCCACTTCTTCTCCATAAAATAAACAAAAACAGAGAAGAAAAGACGGTGGGGGGGGGGGAGCCTGAAGGCCAGACTGAGGTAAACGAAAAAAGTTCCCCCGAAACTAAACAAAGCTCTCTTTTTTTTTGAAGAAACAACAAAAAAATAAAGGTAAAAGCGAAAAAGAAAGAAAACTGAGGAGAAAAACGAAGAGCTCTGAGGAGAAAAAAAGCTACCGATCAGACCGACGAAAGGAAGGTGCTTCCAGTGCAGCTGAAAGAAAGGAATTGGCGGGGTTCCTGCACATGCCCGAGGTCTAGGTGGAAAATCCGTTAAAGAGCTTGCTACAATGCCGATCGATCCAGTGCGTGCGCACTGTATCCCATGGGTGTGAAGCACAGAGACCACGTCGAAGATGAAGTCCTTTTCTCCCTTTCTCACAATACAAGAACTCGTGTGCACTCAATGAAATTGCTGAGAAGTTGGGTTAGAACAGATAAAAGGAAGTACTTCTTCACCCAAAGAGTGATTAACACATGGAATTCGCTGCCACAGGAGGTGGCAGCTACAAGCATGGATGGCTTCAAGAGGGAATTGGATAAACATATGGAACAGAGGTTCATCAGTGGCTATTAGCCACAAAGTATAGATAGGTGGCTCAGTGGTTAAGACGCTGAACTTCAGGCTGGAAGGTCGGTAGTTCAGCAGTTCAAGACTTGAGTGCCGCATGACGGAGTGAGCTCCCGTCTCTGGTCCCAGCTCCTGCCAACCTAGCAGTTAAAAAGCAAAAAAATTGCATGTAGATAAATAGGTACCACTTCGGTGGGAAGGTAACAGCGTTCCATCTGCCTTGGTGTCTAGTCATGCCGGCCACATGACCAGGGAAATGTCTTCGGTCAGCGCTGGCTCTTCGGCTTGGAAACGGAGATGAGCACGACACCCTAGAGTCGGATTCAACTGGCTTTAGAGCAAGGAAAACCTTTACCTTTACTTTTTCTAGGTAGGAACTCTCCGTCTGGGACAAGCGATTCTCTGTATTCTTGGTGCTTGGGGGGGCAACAGTGGACCCACTGGTGGACCTCCTGATGGTTCCTGGTATTTTTGGCCATGTGTGACGAAGTATTGGACTGGATAGGCTATTGGCCTGACCTAACATTGGCTTCTCTTATGTTTTTCTGTTCACTTAATACACAACACACTGGGATAAGAAAAGAGGACGTAGCTGAACTCATCTACAAATAATGCCTCCATAAAGTTGAAATTACTTTCTCACGGATCTGTCTTGTGAAATTCATCTTGGTAGTACTCTACACTGCCACTGCCCAAATCCATATGTTAATCAACATACTATACCGTTAAGATCACAAATGCAGCTTACCAGATCAATGTGGCCAAGTGCAAGGTGATGCACACGGGAGCCAAAAATCCTAAATATAAATACACATTGATGGGGTCTGAACTGGCAGAGACTAAACAAGAGAGAGATCTTGGAGTTGTAGTAGATAACTCACTGAAAATGTCGAGACAGTGTGTGACTGCAATAAAGAAGGCCAATGCTATGCTGGGGATTATTAGGAAGGGTATTGAAAACAGATCAGCCAATATCATAATGCCCCTATATAAATCAATGGTGCGACCTCATTTGGAATACTGTGTGCAGTTCTGGTCACCACACCTTAAAAAGGATATTATAGCTTTGGGAAAAGGGCAGAAAAGAGCAACTCGAATGATAAAAGGGTTGCAACACTTTCCCTATGAAGAAAGGTTAAAGCGCTTGGGGCTCTTTAGCTTGGGGAAACGACGACTGAGGGGAGACAATCTTGAGGTTTACAAGATTATGCATGGGAAAGAGCAGGTAGAGAAAGAGGTACTTTTCTCCCTTTCTCACAATACAAGAACTCGTCGGCACTCCATGAAATTGCTGAGCGGTCGGGTTAGAACGGATAAAAGGAAGTACTTCTTCACCCAAAGAGTGATTAACACATGGAATTCACTGCCACAGGAAGTGGTGACGGCTACGAGCATGGACGGCTTCAAAAGGGAATTAGATAAGTATATGGAGCAGTGGTCCATCAGTGGCTATTAGCCACAAAGTATAGATAGGGACTCTGGGGCAAGTGATGCCCTGTCTTCTTGGTGCTTGGGGGGGTCAACAGTGGGAGGGCTTCTAATGTCCTGGCCCCACTGGTGGACCTCCTGATGGCACCTGGTATTTTTGGCCACTGTGTGACAGAGTGTTGGACTGGGTGGGCCTTTGGCCTGATCCAACATTGGTGCCTCTTATGTTTTTATGTTCTTATGACCATGTGTTGGTTCTCAAAATGTATTGCATTGAGGGATTGGATGAAATTAGGCTTTTTTAGCCACCGGTATTGGGGTTTTGTGATCTGAACTTGTTGTTATGCTCTGGGAAACCTTGGGAAGTGGCAGGCTATAAATCAAAGACATATATAATCTGCTGTGAGACGAACACACCCACTGTGGAGACATTCCTGAGTTAATGAATTCCCTTCCTCACAATGAGTCATCTTTGTCCACACTGAATGTCATCAAAGTGTTTTCAGATTGCTTCCAAATTACTTGGTACATGATGTCATCTTCATAGGTGGAAAAGGAACTTCTAAGTATATATTTTTAAAATGTGGATTTGTTAGCCATGTGGAATCCAGCTTGACAGACTATGGGAGAAGCATGATTAACTTCCCAAATCTTATGCTGATTTCCAATCTGAAACCTAGTTTTAGCAGTCAGACTGCTCATTTGTGTTCAGTATTTATGCACTAAGGTTTGTACATTCTGCTGTGTGTCCTTGAATAAGTCTCTTCTTGTTTCGACTTGCGTCAAAATATTTATGCCTGCTAGTATGCCTTATCTGACTGGTACAACTGATTTAGATGTATTCTGTAAGAGTGGACAAAAGGGCTTAAAAGACTCCTGCATTAACTTAGAAAGTATATAAACCTCGTGAGAGCTCTGTTCCTGCTTCAATCAAATGTCTGTCTAAACCAGGGGTCCCCTGCTCACCAAAACCTCTTTTGGTGACCTCCCAGTGGTTCTGCCTGAAATGCTAAAGGGTTACTATTAGCATTATACATGACCTCACTCCCTGATATTGTGTGGTTGGCTCCAGCTCCTGTGAGAGCCATTTTGCAATTGTTCCTACCACCCAGTCTCAGAATGCCAAAGATGCTTGCAGACTCAAAAGGGTTCGGGACTCCTAACCTAAGTGGAGATGATGATAGGAGCTGTGACAAACTGTTCCTGCTAAGCCCACCAATGTGAAATTTGTTAAGCTTAGCCTCTATCAAACATTACATTCAGAAAGTGGTGGCATTACACCTGCTCACCAAAACCTCTTTTGGTGACCTCCCAGTGGTTCTGCCTGAAATGCTAAAGGGTTACTATTAGCAACATGACCTCACTCCCTGATATTGTGTGGTTGGCTCCAGCTCCTGTGAGAGCCATTTTGCAATTGTTCCCACCACCCAGTCTCAGAATGCCAAAGATGCTTGCAGACTCAAAAGGGTTCGGGACTCCTAACCTAAGTGGAGATGATGATAGGAGCTGTGACAAACTGTTCCTGCTAAGCCCACCAATGTGAAATTGGTTAAGCTTAGCCTCTATCAAACATTACATTCAGAAACAACAGAGACACAGGTAAACTCAGATCAGCCGCTGGTTGGGTTTTTTTTGCCGTTACACTGATGCTTGTCTCTTGGGGGCTGCATGCTTAACAGTGATGCTTCACCCCTTCAGTTCTGGAAGACGATTCACTGAGCCCAACAGTGATGCTTGGCCAAAAGAAAAGCACAGCTCTTCATCTCAGACTCAGGATCCAAAACTCACCGTCATTAAGATCCTGAAGGAGATTTTCCTGGCAGGAGAAGTCAAGCTTCACTTTAATGTTCACAGTAAACGTAGCAATTTTGCCTGGTTTCAGGGGGAACTGGGAAAGCGTGTCTTCTAGGTTCCAACTCAGAAAATCACCAAACAGCTTCCCTGTATCAAAATCGATATTTACAGGTCACGTGCAAGTAGAAACAAATTAACAGCTATGTGACATAGTATAAAACAATCTGGCATCCAAGATGGCTCCTTCCACATGGGATTCCCCCCCCCCATTTGAGGTAGAAAATTTTGATTTATACCATGTTTCAAGTGTTTCTCCATGACTAAAGAGAATGAATGCTATAGATCGCTAAGCGTAAACATTTCCATATATTCCAAAAACAGGATCTGAAAGGGAGAAGATTTTATTTTTCTTTCCATCACATCACAACTAACACGAAAGCTGAGCTCTCCGCTTTTGGGAAATGAATTGCAAATCTGCTATGTGTTAGTGAATCAAATCTCCACCTAACAGATCTGGGATACAAATCTCCCCCATATGAGAATACCTACTTGGTATTCTGAAACTGCAAAGCAGGGTAGGTCTATCTAACTAAAATATATCATTAGGAAAATCCCATGATGGTATAAACAGCTGTATGTTTCTAAGCACCTCTTTCGCGCTTGACTGTGGGCTTATCCATTTGGGAGTCATGTAACTAACCCAGACTGTATCTGACAGCGATAACTGTCTGAGTCTACTTTAGCTGCACACGGTTACTCTGCAGTCATTTAATTCACTAGAACAATGGTGATTGCTTCCGCAGAGCATGACAATGACCCCAGAACTCTTTTACATTTAAGGCAATATAGTAGCAAATAATTAAAAATCCCCTGAAAGCAGAATACCCATTAAATCCCTCCCGTTGGTGCCCTGGTGGTTTCTCACCTCCTTCCCAGAAAAAAAAATGGAATTGTAACACTCAGAGAGGGGAAGGAGACAAGATGGATATTAGAAGGCAGAATCTATGCCCAGGTGCCATAAAGCACAATGGATTGCAGGCAACAGAAACAGCAAAGGAGTTGTCATAGGTTGTTGGTGCGGCAGAACAATCAAGAAGAAAAGTGCACTAATACTGGTTATCAGTGTTCCCTCTAAGCTGAGTTAGTGTGAGCTAGCTCACAGTTTTTTAGCCTCCGGCTCACACATTTTTTGGTTTAGCTCAGGAAGGATGGCTCCAGAGCAAACTAATTTATGCAGTAGCCAAATCACCTGATCACAACTTTAATGCCAGTAGAAAGTAGAACTTTTGCTCACAGGACTCCACAGCTTAGAGGGAGCATTGCTGGTTATATATATATATATCATCCCAATCAAATTATTTCCCATTTTATTTTAGCAACAAGAGAAAGGAAACTCATGGAAGCAATTAAAAAAATTAAACATCTATCAGACCAAGACTTTACATTGACAGCCAGATGTGCAGAGTTCTACCAACCAACTAAACAATTTTTTGCACTTGCTCAAATCTCTGATTGTATGAGCGGTTCCAATGAAACTGTTCAACTATAAACAAATAGACATTTTTCATCTAAAGCTTGCGCAGCAGACTTGAGCTTTCCTGTAAGAGCTGGCTAGAGATGCATTATTTATTACTAGAGCACAGCCAAATATTGCCTTCATTATCGGAAATAAATTACGAGTGTTCTTTTTTCTATTCCAAGAAATGTTTCCCCAAGACACAAACATATCAAAACATAGACCAGATTCTGATGTCTTGTTCTTAAAAGGCGACCCAACGAAGACACTGAAATATTTCCGGTCTAATGACCAACATCTTTTTTAAAAAACTGTTAACAGCGCCAATTAGAAAAGGTTAATTTTGACGGAGTTCTCTTTTAATAAAACGGGACTCTACGTAGTTGAAAACTAAGGTTCATCACATTGCTCCGTTTTATACCGTAAAACGTATTTTGTTGCATGTTCCAACCAGTTGTCTTAATTCTCCCATTCTGACACTGCTGCAGATCCACGGGCAGACTCTATTCGACCTTTATTCTGAGATTTATAGAGAGCAGCAGATGCCACTCATAGGTGCTTTCCAGACTAGAACATTCCAGTTAATCTTTCTACCAGCTTGTTTATTAATTAACAAAAGACTATGTTGTCGAAGGCTTTCATGGCCGGAGTTCATTAGTTGTTGTCGATTTTCCAGGCTGTTATGGCCGTGGTCTTGGCATTGTAGGCCCTGACGTTTCGCCAGCAGCTGTGACTGGCATCCTCAGTCACAGCTGCTGGCGAAACTTCAGGACCTACAATGCCAAAACCACGGCCATACAGCCCGGAAAATCGACAACAACTAACAAAAGACTACTTATGAGAACTCAATTACTTCTGAAAATATATTCAATGTACACTATCTTTTCAATCCTAACTATCCGTCTTATGTATTTTAAACTGTACCCAACAACTTTTATATCGACAATATTATTGATGCCCATCAAGAGCCATTTCTCAAGATATCCAACATCTGCCTCTTAAGGAACATCACACATATCTGGGATGCTGTACTTTAGCATATGTTCTGCCTTCCATATGCAATCGCTTTGTGAAGATTAACTTTATATCCACAAATATCACTGTATTCCTTTAGACAGGGCTATTTTGGGGCAGGAACGCACAGGAACGGAGTTCCAGCTGGCTCCCAAGTTGGCCACGCCCAGCAGGAACTCATTCGCATAATAGGACACAACCCACAGCAGAAACTCATTAGGATTGGCTACATTAGGGGTGCGTGGCCTAACATGCAAAGGAGTTCCTGCTACAAAAAAGCCCTGGATAAACAGAATAAGAAGCAAGAGGTGGGTGTGGCTGGATGAGCACACTTCTGGTAACATGGGGGTGTAGCCAATGAGCTGTGCTGTCAGGGGTGTGGCCTAATATGCTAATATGTTTCTGCTGTTGGGTGTGGCCTATTATGCTAATGAATTCCTGTTGGGCTTTTTCCACAAAAAAAGCCCTGCCTTTAGAAATTCTACAGTGTTACTTTTTAAAGGTGGGATTTTTTTTTTAATTTCGGAAGATAGTTTTAACTATGATTTACATGTTGTACATCACCTATTTGGAAATAAATAATGCTGTCTTGAGTTTAAAGAACTGGTTACATGGCTCCTTGGACACTGGCCACTGGGGGTGAAAAAAGCATAAGAGAATATATCCAGAGGAGTTAGCCATGTTAGTCTGTGGCTGCAGAGGGGTTTAAATTAATATTCTCTAATGAAATAGTAAAAAGCCCAGTAGCACCTTTAAGACTAACAAACTTTATTGTAGCATAAGCTTTCGAGAACACAGCTGTCATCGTCCGAGGGTACCCATGCATTTGACAAAGAAGGCTTGTGTTCTCGAAAGCTTATGCTACAATAAAGTTTGTTAGTCTTAAAGGTGCTACTGGGTTTTTTACTATTTCATTAGAGGATATTAATTTAAACCCCTCTGCCTTCATTGACTATTGGTGGGAATACTGATTAGAAAGGGCAAGTGCATATTGAGACAACAGTTACTTTCACAAATAAAAACGGGCAGAACTCTTCATAGAAATTTGGTTACATGTAATGTCCCATCTGTCCTGATCTGGATAGCTGAGGCTAGCCTGACCTTATCAGATCTTGAAAGCTAGGCAGGGTTGGCCCTCGTCAGTATTTGGAAGGGAGACCACCAAAGAATACCAGGGTCATGACACAGAGGCAGGCAATGGCAAACCACCTCTGAACATCTTTTGCCTTGGAAACCCCACAGGGTCGCCATAAATCATCTATGACTTCATGGCAAGGGTCGCCATAAATCATCTGTGACTTCATGGCGAACAAAAAAAGATAAATCTGAAATTAGAAAACCATTTTAGGAGCTGACTATATGTTCTGATATGCTAAATGAAATTCACACTATTTCTTAACAGTAAATAACAAAAAAAAAATAAGCCATTACTGTTTCATTTTTTTCTCAACTGTTACTACAGGATTCACTCTTAAGGGGAAAAAATAGTCTCTGGAGAGAAAAGTGAATGTGAAAGACTGATTCTTCTGGGGAAAAGGAAACATTTATAGGGAAAATTTTACCAAGTTTTATTGGGACAAAAATCTAACCAGAATAACTTTCAGTCTTCACCTAACAGGATCAGGTAATAAGTGATGTGATGTGGAAGATCTCAACCTGAAATCCTGGAGAGCCACCGCCAGTTTGAGTAAGTAACACAGACCTTGATAGAACAATGGTCAGCTGTAGTAAAAGGCAGCTTCAGAGAGAACAGAACAAATATTCTGAATATCAAATTAGCAGTGCTGAACTGAATTGGACACAAAACATCATAGCATTTATTCTCCTGTGTGAAGCTTTTAAAAACTCTGTAAGAACAGCCCACAGCATATCTGATTGAGTAATATCTGGTATATCTTATTATTTCATTCTTTTATCACATAGAGGCCACGGTCGTACCTTTTGTGTTGACCATTTTTGATGTTACCTCCAGCTTCTCCAGAGGTTCTGTTCCAATGTTTTCTAGTTTAATTATGAGTTGTTGGGTCTCTCCATTGTAGAGCTGGACTGACACATTGGTGGTGATTTCATCCCCCGAGGAAGGCTGCAGCGTATGAGCAGACCTTTACAAATGCAAGTAAGATTCAAGTGAATAATGCATCCAGCATCCCTAATACATTAAAGGCTATGTTATCTGTCTTGGAGTGCCACAGTTTCCTCGCTCCTGATCTCTGCCCGCAGTATCTTTTGATCTCGGTGGTTGATAAGACAGCCCTCGCGCCCACTCCTTAAACGACAAAAATCTAGCTTTACTGCCATCTTCCAATACGAGCATAACGCTCGGGAGCTGCGTTTAAAGATTAGTTGCTTCCCGAACAAAAATTACAAACGCATATTTAGGGTACAAAAGTTGCTTACTGATGGAAAATGCTGTGAAATCTTCATTCATTTAATTTTCCAGTGGCAGAGGATCTTCATAGCAGAAATATTCCCCAGTATAATATCTCTCACTTCCACAAGCGTGGTTTTAAAACCTAGTAGTCTGAAACCAGCTTCTAACCATTCTGGATGCCCCTCCCCACTACCTTAACCACAGTTAGGAAACTGGGAGACCAAGCTGCCTGCACCAAGCCTAAACAGGAGAGATATGAGGTCAAGAAGATGCCCCCCCCCATGGCAGCACACAACCGAGCTTGTTTGACACATCATTATTGCATATGAGCTAGACCCAGAGTGCTGCACAAAGGACTTATAGAGCTGGCCTTCATGGCCTTGGGGAGGGGCCGTGGCTCAGTGGCAGAGCATCTGCTTTGCAAGAGGAGGAGGAGGAGACTGGATTTATAACCCGCCCTTCACTACCTGAAGGAGTCTCAGAGCGGCTTACAATCTCCTTTCCCTTCCCCTCCCCACAACAGACACCCTGTAAGGTAGGTGGGGCTGAGAGAGCTCTCTCGAGAACTGCTTGTGAGAGAACAGCTCTGAAATAACTTGTAACTGACCCAAGGTCACACCAGCAGCTGCATGTGGAGGGTTGGAGGGAATCAAACCCGGTTCGCCCAGATTACAGTCCATGCTCCTAACCACTACGCCAAACTCGCTCTCGGTTAGGGTTGCCAAGTCAAAAAAACTCACCGGCGGGGGAGCCTCGCCAGGCTCCGGGAGCCGTCCTCGGATGTGCGTGCACCTGAAAGTGACGCGCAACATCGATCACGTTGAGGGCGTGGCCCCGATCGTCGGAGGGAAATCCATAGAGTTTTCCCTCCGACGATCCGGGCCACGCCCCCAACGTGGTTGCGTCATGGGAGCCACGCTGCACTTCGGGGGGCAGAGTTCCCCCCGGGGCCCGATTCCGCGGCGTCGGAAATCGGGCCTCCAAAGCGGGGGTTTACCCGCCACCCGCCCCCACTTGGCAGCCCTACTCTCAGTTTGGTCCCAGGTCAAATCCCCAGCATTCCCAGCTAAAGGGATCAGGTAGGAGGGGATGTGAAAGACCTCTGCTTGAGATCCTGGAAGTTGCTGCGAGTCTGAGTAGATGATACTGCTTGTGATGGACTGATGGCCTGATTCAGTATAAGGCGGCTACTCATGATGCTCTCCCACAAAAGGCTTTTCAAAAGTGGCTTGGCACGCAGAATTGGGGGCTGCCAGCAGATGTACAGATCCCATTTCCTTAGAAACAAACCCAAAAAAGAAAACTCAAGCTTCCAAAGAGCAAGGTCCCTGACAAAGGGAGCTTTGGCTCTCAAAAGCTTAAACCCTGGAAGTCTTGTTGGTCTTTAAGGTGTGACTGGACTCGAATCTTGCTCTTCTACTGTGAACGAAAAGGGCTACCGGCATGAATCAAGCTTCCAAATTTCTTACCTTGGCAATGAAGTGCTAATCTGCAATCTAGGCAAAGCTGGAATGACTTCCACGGTGCAGCCGTTCGTTTTTATTCCTGGTAATTTATCCAGAAGGCAGTCACTGAAGACTCCGAAGACTGACGTATGATAACCTGCCGCCAAGAGAGACGAGAGCGCATCTTCCATGATTTGGGTGACCAAGACACTGGCGACTAATTTGGGCCTCATCTCATCACCCTGCTGCAAAATACACTTAGTAACTTATCTACAAATTGGCACATTTGTGAATTCCCAGTAGCTCTGATGGTGCTGGAGAAGACTCTTGAGAGTCCCCTGGACTGCAAGGAGATCAAATCAGTCAATCCTAAAAGAAATCAACCCTGACTGTTCCCTGGAAGGCCAGACACTGAAGCTGAAGCTCAAATACTTTGGCCACGAAATGAGAAGGGAGCACTCACTGGAGAAGACCCCGATGCTGGGAAAGATTGAAGATCAAAGAAAAAGGGAATGGCAAAGGATGAGATGGTTAGACAGTGTCATAGATGCAACGAACATGAAATTAAGCAAACTCTGAAGCACGACGGAAGACAGGAGGGCCTGGCGTGATGTGCTCCATGGGGTCGCGAAGAGTCAGACTCGACTGTGCAACTGAACAACAAAGTAGCTCTGAACACTCAAAGCATAGCTGTGATTTGACATTTTTTTTTGTAAACAAATTTTTTTTATTTTTTTCCATCATAGGAATACAGCAATTAATCATTAAACCCTTATATAATGTCTTTGTTTACCCTATGGTTATTACTCCTTCCCCCCTCCTGTGGCTTCCCGCAATGCATTCACCTCTTTTCCCCTCATATAGATTTCATCAGTTATTCACATCTTATTTCACATATCTAACTTCCAGATAACATCAAATTTCTTAATATTGTTCTAAACATAGTAAATTTTGTTTTACATCCCAGTTCTTTTCCAGATAAATTTTAAAGTCCTTCCATTCCTCAAAAAATTCTTCATCTTCTTTGTTATTTAATTTCTTTGTAATTTTGTCCATTTCTGCCATGAACAGAACTTTTTGTATCCAATCCTCAATCTCTGGTACTTTTTCTAGCTTCCAATATTGTGCATATATCATTCTTGCTGTCGTTATTAAGTACCAGAGTAAGCTGCTTTGTTCCTGAGCTGGAATTTCCTGCCATATGTACATTTGGTTATCAATGGAACTGGCCAGCTTCATCAGCACTACAATGAAGCATCCTGACGCCTAGATTCCACACCTGTCCAGATGCCATACTCTGAGTAAGGTTTTAGGTTACAATATTGGCCACCCCTCTTAGGTAACCTCCCCTTCCCACATGCAACCAATAGGATTGTTTTTGGGATGGACTAACAGGTAGGTGGGTCAAGAGGTTGGCACAGTTACCGCCCATCTTGTGAACCCGCTATAAAAGGAGAG